AACAGCCTTCAAGGACTATTTTCGTTTAGGATACCTTTTTAAGTATGATTTTAAATCTGTTACTAAGTTTATTATAATTTTTATACTGTCAATCTTGTTTTTGTTCTGCCCAAACTTGACTGTAAGACCAAGAAATTTAAGTTAGAAAGACATTTTGTAAAGCGTAAACATCGCGAAGGTATCTATTTAGTATGCGAACTCTGTTTTGCGTAGCCCAACGTGATTCGTTATTTAAGTGTAAAAACATGACGAGGGTCAGAGATTGACAGCTCAGTAAGTGTCACCTTTATAAACGGTGACCCACACTTTCCTCGGGAGATCAGAGCTAGTCTTCGTTGTAATAACTTGTGTAGAAGAGAGAATAAAGAAAGAGACAACAAGACAACTAGTGTTAGAGCAAATTTTACTCTTAACAATATCTATAAAATTACTTTCTCAAAATTATTCCCTTTAATTATTTCCATAAAATGGTAAGTAGTATAGTTGAGATGGTTTTCAAAGTGGTCTCATACCGCCATCTCCTATGCTACTAATATTAATAGTATTTTAATCGTATGGCTACTTTGCGATTTGTTTTACGCGTGTTTGATACATAAAGCGAAGGCCTTATCAAGCCTTTAATCATGGATATCAAAACGTTGCTCGCCAGTCTTCATAAAGAACTATCCTGTTCTGTGTGTATGGTCACATTTACTGAACCAAAACAGCTACCATGTTTGCACAGGTTTTGCCTCCACTGTTTGGTAGGAATTAAAAGAAACAGCGGCCACCATGATGTCATAACATGTCCATGTCGAAGGGAGAGTCAAGTCCCTGGAGGAAACCTTAAAGATCTGCCCGCCAACTTTCGCATCAACAGCTTACTAGAAGTGTTGGCCATAAAGGAGTGCAGTTCCACTGGAGTCAAATGCGGAAACTGCGACAGACGAAAAGTAGAAGGTTTCTATTGTTTTCAGTGCTGTGTGTTCTGGTGTGAACAGTGTATCACTGTGCATAACTTACTCCGAGAAAATAAAGACCACCGAGTTCTCGCGCTGAAAGATTTTGAAGATCATGACATCGAGGATGACTTAAAACGACAAAGATTTGTTCCCGACAAGGCCACGAAAAGAAAGAACTGGAATTTTTCTGAAAGAAATAAGAAGAAACCGTTTGCAGTTCATGCGTTGTAACCGCTCACGATGGACATGCTAAGGTACTCTTAGAAGAAGCGGCAAATGAAAATAAATTGGAAGTCATGTCCGCGATTGAGTCTAGAAAGGCAAAAGCGCAAAGGATGAGACACAAAATCTCTCAACTTGACGAAAGGTGTGACAACATCGAAGCAAAAGTCGCCAAAGTAAAAAGAAGCGCGCAACACTTTGCAGAAAGCATGATCGCTGTTATCGAAGCGAAGAAACAGGAAATCTTTAATGAAACAGATCAAAAGGTGCAACAATCCCTGAAACGTTAACGAAAACAAAGGGTCGAGATTAAACACAAAGTTAAAATCGTCGAAACAGCAGTAGGAAACTCTGAAACGCTTTTAAAAAAAAGCACAAACGCAGAGCTTGCCAAGTTAGATAAGACTCTGAACACAATAATCCCGAAAGAAGTCGATGATGAGCGAGAAGTGGACTGTGACCTTGAAGGACCAAACCAATTTATTTTCGAGGAAAACGAATCCTTAAGGGCGAAAACAACCGATGAAAGGATCGGCCGTGTATTTACAACCTTCCAAATCAGCGAAACCAAAGCGAATCAATCAACTGCTGAAGGAAAATGAATCATTAAAGCGATCGTTGGAATTGAAGCGAGCTTTGTTTTAACAGGACAACAATGCTATGAAAAGCGTGCCCAAGTAACAGTGGAAATTAAAAGTTAACAAGGGCATGACTTTGCGACGGAAGTGCGAGTTAAAGATGACAAAGATGGAAGTTACAAGATCAGCTATTTTGCCAAAGAAACTGGACGATATTGATCACCAGCTGAATACTCCTCGCGGTTTATCTGTAGATAATGAAGGCAATATTATTGTTGCTGATATGTATAACAAATCAGTTAAGATCTTTTCGAAAGGTGGCCATTCTTTAAGCAAATTGGGGCGTGAGGGTTATTTTACCTTTCCCTTTCACTGTGTACAATATGACAAATATCTCATAGTGTCAGACCACGAAGAACATTATATCAAAGTGTTTGATAGAAATGGTATCGTTTTTGTTCAAATTAAGAAAAATGGGGGAGGGGAATAGCGAGTTCAATTTCCCTAAGTGTTTTTCAGTTGACAAGGCAGGACACCGGATAGTCTGTGATGGAAATCACAGAGTACAGGTATTTGAGCTAAGTGGGAAGTTTGTGACAAAACTTGGATCAAAAGGAAATTGTGAAGGAGAATTTATTCTTCCTCTTTCAACTGCAGTGCTCAGCGATGGTCGAATAGTTGTCTCTGACTTTTTGAACCATTGCGTTCAGATATTTGAGTAAACATGAGAACACTTACCAAATTTGAATTAATGTTATCAAACCCTTAAACAAGAAACTGCTTTTGACAAGCTATTTATCATATGGTCAATGAAACTACAACGCCACCCATAACATCACAAATTTCAGAGATTGAACGTTTAAGTACGTTTGATCTGTCAATAAGCCTAGTCAATAACCTTAATTAGATCAATTATTAAACAAGTTTTAAACTTTCGTATGATATCTAGTTTAACACGTTGCAAAAGCTACAAACTTAAGTTCATTTATTCCTCATGTTAATACTGAGAGATTTGGCTTCAAGTAATGATACATCCAAAATAAGGATCTTGCCGGTTTCAGCTGTAATAGTTTCCTTAATATTTCCAACACTATGCTGAGTTGGGAATCTATTCCGGAGTTAAACCAGTAGAGTGAATGGACTGTCTCTTATATAGTAGTGAATGTTGTAATTTCTTAATTAACATTGTAACAACCGCTTGTACATATTCAAAAAGTAGAAATGTGTGAAGAAACGGAACACGAATCTCAGAATTGAACCTTGCGAACCTTAAGAATTGAACCTTGCCAACCTTAAGAATTGAACCTTACGAACTCAACACTGTTTATTTACACACGCATAGCATATATATATTAGAATTGAGTTTAAGCCTTCGAGAGAAGTTGTTTTTCTCGAGTACGGATAGTTTTTTTTTTGACGAGCTAGAGCCTTGGAATCTTGTAAATCTAATCCTAGGAGGATATTGCCAATAAAAACCTTAACAATGAGTACTCATGAGGGGCTCATTAAAAAGGCGAAACAAATTTGGGACTTTGGCAACCAACCGCTTAAATGCGGTGCGGCTTAAAACGTCTTGAAACAGGCTCGATTTAATAGCATATTTAATATCAGTCAGAGGTCATGCCTGGTGATTCTTAATAGCATATTGTTTGAAATCGATCAACTTTTGTGGGATCTTGCGCGGACTTTAGTGCACTTCACGACAGTCTCCTTCGCTGCCGTTCTCACGATGTCACGTTGCGTGACATCTCAACTCAATCGTTCACCACAAGAATGTGTGACTACTAGCTAAGTCACAACTTCCTTGAATAGAAGTGTGGTCTGTTCTTCGATGGAAATCTTTCAAGTCACGGCAGAGACTAGTAGCTACTCGTGGCCCCATGGGAAAGAGAGATAGAAAAAAGCTCTGAAACCTTACAGGCAGTGTTAAGCCAAACATTTGTCGCTGATGCAATTTCGAAAAAACTGACCATGTTGTGCGACATTTACATTTACATTTACTCAAAAATCCTCCGAACAAAATTACACCATAAATATCAGGACAACATTACCATAGAGAATTAGAAAATATAAATATAAATAGGTTAGAAGTACTACATGCACAGTTATTTACGTACCACGCTACGAGTGATTACAGGTAATCAAATTTCTGAATGAATTCAACTCACCTCGTGCTTACGGTTAATATCTTGTTAAACGCTTTGTATGTATTGCTTAATTCTCCCTTTGCAAACGATAAACTGCTGCGTTTTCCGGTTACATATCGCAAATTCGTATGCAAGAAGAGAATGTTTCATTATACGAACTGGACACCAGCGACAGTCACTGATTCAAAACTCACAGCGGTCAATCGAAGGGCATGCGAATCGATATCAGCCGGCTGGCGCCGATTTCCCGCGAAAAATTATAACAGGTAAGATAGGAACAACGGCTGCTATGCAAAACATGCAAAGAAAAAGTCAAACGTTCATAAAATTTTGAAAAAGGCAGCACAAAAAGCGAAAAGGAAAACTGAGAGTACACAAAGCTTATTAAATTACAGGTTTCATTTGGGTTTAGCATCTTTTTTTGGTTTATCAAAGAGATTATTAACTATAATCTCTTGGCTTTATAAAAAACATTAAAGGGTTTTCAAACACCACGATTTACTCGCTTGTGTGGTTTTTTTATAACTCTTGGAAGATAACATGGTTATTTCAGCCTGAATGCACGTCCCCTCTAAAAAGTTTGTAATGTGGTTTGTTTAAGTTCCATCGGCTGTTCAGGTTAGGTACATCACTCACTTCCCGAAAAACTATGCCTTATTTGCTAAGACATTAACCATAACAGTTAACTTCCACTAAAATTAATATAATTATTTGTTTGTAACAGGCTTATGAAAGCACTGACCTGTTATGCAATCTCAATGGAGTGTAGGTGGTAGAGATTTTTTGTTTCATTCGACTACATGTTGATACAGCGAGGAAAGCATTCCAACACGACTAATTCCACAGTGGGTATCAGAGATGCCAACCTCTGGAGATCTCAAATCTGGAGATTTTTTTTCGGACCAGCACCCCTCCTGATCGAATTTGCCAATGCGCCCCCCCCTCCAGAAAATGTCCTTTTTTGACTTGTTCTCTCCTGTCTCAACTTCCATTTTGAAGATCATCCCCTTCAACCACCGCCCCCCCCCCCTTCTGTATTTTTTCTAGTTATGCCAGCCGATTTGCCATTTATCTCGAGGGGTCCATATCTCACCGGTATACACAGAAAGATATCGGGTGATATTCGATATTGTTTTTATTACGTTGTGGTTCCCAAACTTCATCCGTATCCTCACACCTTTCATTAAAGTAAGAAACAGTGGACAAGAAGAGTCACCTCGTTTAATGTCCACTGCTAAATCCCCATTCTTTTAAACCATGAACGTAGATATTATTTGAATGGCTACGCTCAACCAGGATGCATTGTGGGGATGATGTCATTTGAAAGTGATTAAATAAGAAAACTTACACCCATGTCGCAAAAAGTAGCGTTTTGTCAACAATGCAAAGGATGGTAAAGGGTAAAAATCATCACCAAACGAATCCTTCAAAATGAAAATATGTAAACTTGAAGGTAACGAAGCTTCAACCTGAGTGCTATGTATAGAATGTTGAAAGTACCACAAGGATTGCATCAGCTTAGATACACAGCATGCTTGAGTATAAGTGGAAAAGAGGTAATTGTGAGTACGAACATCTAAAAAAATCTGCGTGAGAACTTCTGAAAAAGTAAAGTGAGTTAAATATCCCTACTGTGCTACGATTGCCCCTAAAACTTTACTAGAACTAAAACAATCACATCTATACAAAAACAACAAAGTGAGCCTGAAAACTAATTGTGACCTGTTTAGTCTTCACTCATACTAATATATACAGTCACGTGACGGCAAAATCTCAGTACCCAGCAGCCCACCCACTCTTCCTTGGGTCAGATTTTCCTGTCAGTGTCCCGTCATCATTTGTGGCCGCAGCCTGCACCACTGCGTAACCACTGATATTCCTGACATTGTGCCCAAGCCTCTGTAGTCCTTCTTGGATGGCAAGGGGCATTTGAAAGTCTTTGTCTATGCGGATATACATCGGCATTAGCTGGTGGTGGAGCCTGGGATCAACTACAGCCTGCGAAAGGGTACGGTTGAACCAGAGATAATTCATCATAACCTGGAAGTTAATTACACACGGTAAGGCATCTTTTGGTGAGACATTAGCCCTTCCGCTTGCAAGATTTAAATATCAATTCTCCAAACGGTAAGCTATGCATTTCTTAAAATCTTGGATCAGAGAACTTCTTATTAAATCAAAAGGATGTCCCCTAGTTGATAATTTTCTCCCCTCTACATATCTGTCTTAAAAATGTATTGATATTATAGCGGAGCTCGTAGAGCATAGCCCCATAATTATACAAAATAGTAATAACCCATCAAGCCGAAAAAATTTAAATGTACGACCGTACGACCGACCGTACAAGGTGCTACTTTTAGCATGCGCGGCCAACTGTACCACGGGCACTATATTATAATCAGTCCTCTACACGGACACGGAGAAGCTGCGAATGAAAATCCATCAATATCAACACGCACTTTATCCATAGTAGGGGCTTTAGTTTTGTTGAAGAGACGTGCGGGAAAAAAAAATGCGAGCTCCGCTTTTAGGCTTGCCTAAATCTATATATTAAGGAGAAGTTCATATTTGGTTGCTACTTAGAGTAAGAGGTTTAATCAACACTACTTAGAGTGAGAAGTTTAATCAACACTCTAATTCCTATGATCTGTTTTTGGAAATTGTGTTTGATCTGCAAAAACATGTTCTCGCGGGAAAACATCATCGAAAAAATATAACGCCGGAAAAGCTTGCTATCTCCAGTCAAATGAACACTCCCGGTTAAGTGTCTATTTGCACCTTTATTCGCCGGACTAACCTAAATATTCATGTAATTATCATCTACTTTGCATGTGTTGCATTTGTAAAGCTCAGCAAGTAGTAAATTTCCAAAAGATTTCGTGTCCTTGTTGTTAATGTTTCGCAGAAAATCGTGAGAATTAGTTACCAGCAAAAGTTTCATTCCATCTTTCTCTGGATATATATTTTTTTATTTGCACATTTTCAAAACTTTTCGCCAAATTAGTCTATACGATTTTTTTGGGACGTCAGTAACAACACTTCACTGGGATAGACCATGGGCAACGAGCTCAGTAGCGATTCGGTTTATTTGTCTTTTTATACATGACTTTAGATCGGTAACACGATAGGACCACACTAAAATAACTTGTTGCTACCTTACCAAAGAGATGGCGGTTGTTATTTTCGTTCCACCGGACGCTCCAATCACCAAACGAGCTGTTCCGTTCTTATCTAAAAATAGCGAAGGCGCGGTGGAGGACTGGGGCCGTTTCCCAGGCACAATCATGTTAGACTCGGACGGTTCAACACCGTACGCGTTCTTCTTACCAGGAGTAGAAAAGTCGTCCATTTCGTTGTTATAGATGATGCCTGTACGAGTTGAACGATATCTCGACCCAAAGCTGTGAGTTTGGAGTTAAAAGAAAAAAATAAATAGATAAATGAGTGAAGGAAAAAAGAAAGAAGTAGAGAAATAAAGACAGAAAAAAGATATTTGAAAATCGTGACCATCACGACGCTTACTTTCCGAGAAGACAACTCTTTCTGTAAAGAAATCTTCCATCTTAATTCTAAAGGAAATTCTCATGACAAAAAAGGGGGGGGCGAACCTTAATAGAATAGAATCACCACCGTACCCTGCTTCGTTGATAGGGCAGATAAGGATAAGAGGCCAGGCTACAAGCACATGCATATCCCTATCTTTCCCCACCCCCGATCCCCAGCTGAATTTACGAAACCCCACTACATCGGGTACTCACAAAAGATTTATCGTAGTGGTTGCAGAAACAGCATCGCCATTTTCGGCGATAACAGATAAATGTGAAGTTCCTTGATGACTAGAATTGTGATAAAAGTCGCCGTAGTGTTTGTAATCGGAGAATGTCTGGTTGTCCCAAATCTGCTGGCGGATGGATTCGGCAAAGTCGGCGTCGGTCATGTTTTTGACGATCTGCGAGATGTAGGATAGGAGGTCAGTGTTATTCTTAGGAACTAGCACATGGCTGGTCCACCAAAGGATTCTCGATAACTCAGTTGGTAGAGCATCCAACGGAGAAAACGGATCTAGCAGACTCGTTTTTTGACTCCTTGGAACTTTTAGGACAGCTGGTTAATGATTCTAAGCAATGTAACGCGAGATAACTATCTCAGATAAGCCACAGGACTACCCTACCTCCGTAACATTTGCAAAGTCTTGGTCACCCAGTAATGCTCGGTAAGCGTAAGCAAACTTGAAAGCCTCCACAATTCTGTGATATGTCAGGGTTGAGTTTTTGATTCCATGCCGATCCCAAGGTTTCATATTGTATCCTATAGAATAAAGAAAAAGTGACAGAGAAACTTGACTCTTTTCAAAACGTTTGGTCGTGGACGTTGAACGGCGAATGGCCATAATCCTGAATAAAAATAAATCTTGAAACAACTTGAGGAAAAACAACATGTGAATATCAAAGAGCTAATAAGCAGTACCGTTCTCAGGACCTTTTTCCAAACCAGGTCCGAGCCCCTCCCCTGACATGCCTCAACATACCTTTTAAGATATTGAGGATAAAACTTAACACCACACCACTCCCTGGGGGTGGAGTAGAATACCAGGAGTATTCTCCGAACTTTCCTTCCATAGGTTTCCTGAACTTCACTTTGTAGTTTTTCAAATCGTCCCGGGTGAAAATACCACCACCATCTTTAATGTCTTGTACAACATCTCTAGCTAGTTCTCCGAAATAGAAATCCTCTGGATTATCACGGATTCGTTCCAAGGTTCGTGCAAATTTCGGCATGTATAAAATTTCTCCTAACTTCTTTAGTTCACCATCTTCATTGAAAAGAAGTTCCCTTCGAAAAAGAAAAGAAAAATAATAAAATTCGACTAAACACTTTTTTGAAAGGAATTATCAGTTTTTTAAGGTAAAACGTGAAGGTCTCTTTCGAAGATTAGCTATTCAAATCATACAATTTAGAAATCTAGATCAAAGCTTAATTCGAACATTGGTCGAACATGCGTGATAACAGGGGTTATTCTTTAGATAACATGTCATGTTACACTTATCCACTGGATAGCAATCACGATCTGGCTTTCGAAGTATTACTAGTAGATGCTATTACTGGTACATGCTATTAGTAGTGCATGCGGAATCTAGTCCCCAGTGTTTCAAAGTCAGTCAGGATATCATCAAGAGACACACGTCCACTTCACCCCAATCTTTACGCAGCAAAAGAGGACTGAGAGTGCCGAATGACTAGCCTGGGACTTAGAGCCATCCAGACGGCTGCTACCTAAACCGTAAGGTTTGTCCAAGGCCGCGGGCTTTAGGGAATGGTGCTCCATCCTTTTCATAGTGATGGTTGTTTTTATAAGCCTCCTGTCATTGCTAGGAGCCCATCTAGGGGAACTCTTTAGCTTCAATGTATCGACGTCATGTTATAAAACAAATGATTAACACCACAGCGTACACTATTGAGAAAATTATAGGATTCACGATTTTCTCTCGGTTATGGATGCACGCGGAAGATTTGCAAAGCACGAGAGAAGCGTAAGAGTCGCTCGAGGAGATAGCCGATGGCGACCTGAGCTTCTTGAGTGCGTAGCAACCTCCCGCGTGCATCAATAAGCCAATAGTGTAGGCTATGATGCAGCATCTAATTTCTTGAAGTAACCAACTCGTGTGAAGACCTAATTTCAGAGCAGCTTTTCCCGCGTGAGGAAGGATATTTATACATGTTCTTTGTTCATTAAACAAACCTCAACCCAGGATCTGCCTTGAGGCGCGGTTTTACACTTGACCGTGTTGCAGCGTAATAAGCAGAAGGTCCAAAAGGAAATCCGTCCCTCGCCATGTCAATGCTCGGTTGTACTAGGTCTTTCCACAGTATATTACCCCCGTATTTCTTCCAAGCTTCGTAAAAACCTTTTACCTCACCTGGTACACCCGCAGCTGCTCCGCCTGGATGGGAAAGAGACAGAAATTACAATAGTTGGCACTGAAGAGGTATAGTCTCCTACGTAGACGTTGTTTGGTTACGTCACGCAACGCGCTCTTAGGTAGGGTAGATAGCACGTTGCGTGACGATAGCCAGCAACAGCTGCGAAGGAGACTAAAGAGGTATAACGAAATTGAGAGGGAAAGAGGATCGGGAAAGTTTCTCGTAGAAAAGTAACTTACCGATTCTAGAGTCCAATTTTCCTCCTACATACATCGTTTTGTTGGCTTTCCCTGGGGCTTCTTCACGGAAGTCGATTACCTCCACAGACCTTGTGCCCTTCTTGTACACAACCATGAACCCACCACCGCCCACACCAGCAGAATGCATATTGTAGACTCCGATGCAAAACAAGGCTGCGACTGCTGAATCCATTGCCGTACCTCCTCTTTTAAGAATGTCACGGCCTATCTCCGAACAGGGACCAGCATCCGATGCAACTACGGCATGTTTGTAAGGCCCATCTGCTCCCGGTGGTGCAGTAGGAGGAGGAAGGATGGGCTGCGAAGTAGGAACGTCTGGTTCGGAGTCTCTGTCTCTCGTGAAAACTATTGCAAGTGTGATGATGATGGCTACCACAACAAGAACGACGAGGACGAGGATGATGATCATCCGTCGCTTTGTTGATCTGTTGAACACAGTAACGTGAAATCAAGATTGAGATTGTAAAAATAGTTTATGGCTGGAACGACGCGACCTCTATGAGCAAGAAGACTTTGCGCGTAAAGCTCAAACAATTGGCAACAAAAGTTACGAAAGTTACCTAATGAGTCTCTTGGCCGAGACGAAACACGGCGAATGATTTTATTGTTGAACAGTAGTGACTACTTTTTGATGTCATGAATCTTCGCATTTGCGCCTCCATCGAAAATGAGTCCATTCCCCCCCGCCTTCATTTTAACTAGCGGTTAATGACTTTTGTCAAACGAGTTGGGACCACTGGTTACATAAAACAGGATTCCTGAGTTGCTTGTCAGTTTAGCGCACTTAATTGACACGTGGACTCGTTGGTCTGTTTATTCAAACAAAGTTCAGTTAGCCGATGGTTGACAAAACCGCCTCCTAAACAATCCTAAATTTCGCTGGACCTTTTATCTGGACTCATCTTTTCTGTGGACAATGTCAAGATGGTCGAAAGCTGACAGTGTAAGGACATCAGTTTATTTAATTAAATTAACCCCCTTAAAGAGAAAGCACGAAATCCATTGCGTAAAACCGTGGTTTGGGTTGGACCTCGTGTAAAGAACAGGCCCATTAGGTTTGAAAAAATTACTTGAGCTGTTAAAGCGTAAACGTTATGTTGTTTTAATAATGATCATCACTGGCTACAATTTGGGGCAAAAATAAGCACCTCCCTACTTCGGAAAGACTTGCTACGCAGATTATTTTCAGTCGGCATCTTATGGCCCGTTGTCAGGGTTAAATTACTTGGCAAATTTATTTCAGTTTAATTTCGAAACCCATATTTCCATTTGCAATCACAATTTTTGAAATTACTGTATTTTCTAATAGTTGCTGTTGTTGCTGGATGCCTATATATGAATCAACTCTACCTCGACTTCTCCTGCTAAAAATGAATTCCTGTTTGTAGCGCGTTTGTTGTGCTGAATCATGATACACACGCAAAGTCCGAATTTTGAACTGTAAAATTTATTGACCCTGATAACACGCCATAGCTACTTGATAGACTACGATGATGTGTATAGCGCTCTGCAAGACAACCTTTGTAGGGAGAGGGGATGGCAGAAGCACACAGGCTTATAGACGGTGATGCTCGAGTGAACAAATAAACTGTGACAGTTATTTCGTTGCCGAAAATCAAATAGCTTATCTCTGTATAATGTCCTCCGACAACCTTTGGATGAATTTTGAGCTTTGTTTTTTAAATTTTAATCAGGTAAGATTCATCTTTAAAGAAACTCGAGCCGAACACCTCTTTAAGGTGCTTCGGCGCCCTTTAATCTTGTCATCGACATGGATGACCTTACCTGTATTTCCAAATGTAGATGACTGCAAACAAAACGCGAGGGGTTCTTTTTATGAATAATTATTTTTCACTTATTTATTCAAGAAACCAATGTTTGCAATATTTAAAAGTCACGCCATAATACTGCGATAGTATATTTTTCACTTTTATATCTTGTTATCAAGATCTGTGAACATATTTCCGCAGCATGTGACTCTTACTCTTGGTATACTGTTTGCGTTAATAGCAAAGTTTGTGATTGATGCTTAAAAATACCTAAAGCGTGAGTGAAAAATTTTTTAACTGATCATGTTCACAGTCAGGCCCTCAAGAATTGACGCAACAGGAAAACGCATCTTCTCAAATAAAACAAAGAAAGAGAGTGTTACACCCGGCCACAAAACAAACATTTCAATTGTCACGCGATGTAGAATAAACTTGATTGAGGGGGTTCTTCAAAATTTCTGCTCTGAATGGTACAAAACGAATCAAACAAAACACTCTGATCTTAACGTGCCTGGACAAATTCTTATTGAAGTTAACTCAGTTCTCTTAAAAAAGAAAATATTCCCTGGTTCACTACGTCTTACATCCATTGTCTGTCAACACAATTATTTGTTCTCATTTACTGTGGTAAACATCAGAAACAGGAAACAGTTTTCGAATACAAACTAATCTTGCTATCATTTATTCTCGAATAGAATTCGATTTGTTCTGTTGTTATCGCGCCGCTCGTGTCTATCGGTTGGTGTTCATCGCACGGTTTCCCAGAGCAACATGTTTCCTACGATAAGCATCGCCTATTGATCAACAACTGCTGTTGGCAGGTTCACGATGACAGAAATCAACTTCAGTTTCGTTGATAGGTATGTTTTGTATCTGACAATACAACTTCTGTCACACGACGCCATCTCTTTCAGCTTGGTGTCTATTTTCCACCTCCACAGCTTTATTAGAAAAGCCCTAGCGATCGAAATTAACAAGTCCAAAGTCCTACTCGTCCTCTGAAAAAGACGCCTTGACACTAATTTAGAAGGCACTGACAGGCAAGAAAAAATTTCAAGATAGTCCTGTCTCCATTTGACACGATAGTCCCCCACGATACGAATTTTACCTCCCCCTTCGGACCCCTTCGTTATCCGTAAGCTTGCTTCGATTCTTTAAATATACGTCTTGAGCTTCTTTTGCTGAAAACAGACTATTTTTTGCAGCGAAAGCGCCTGCTAATTGCCGCGGGCATTTCCTAGATTTCTCCAAGGGCAGTTTGTTTGACTCACCTTTCGCGGTGTTTTGGTTCACCCTCAAATATAACTTTGTTATCACCACTGCTCATGTTTGCCTGAACTTGTTTTGTCGCCTTCACTGAGCTAAACAACAAACCTGTCGCAAATTTGGATAGGAGCCACGTAACCGTTTTGCAGGGCAACAAAGGATGGCGGTTCTGGTTGGCGTAATTTTACCGCGTCTTCAAAACATGCTAATGTAATACAGGTCTCTTTTATAACAGCAATATGATATTCATGCACATAATAATAGATTGGACACGACATGCCGAACTAGACAGGTGGTCTTGTAGAAACAATGACACTGGTTTGACAGTCCTTACCCTAGCCAGATTCATTGTCTAATTATCACCGTCAAAACACAATAATTGTTGATATGACGACCATGACAGCTCTGTAGCTCAAGGGTTGACCATCGGAGCTTTCGGAGGTTCAACTTTGCGTGAGGGATTCAGATGTTTTTTTTTTTTAATTTTTGCCCCTCGTTCCTAACAAAACGAGTAATGCAGAAGTTGATAAGATATTAAACAGGCAATTTTTATTTTAAGTAAAATTCAACAGCATTTAGGCAAAATACAGGGTTATTATCAGTTATCGGTAAAAGTTATCAAAGCTGTATCAGAGTTTGCTGTAGGCAGGCACGTTTTCTCTATTGGGCTGCCTGAATGAAATAAGGATGTAATATTTTTTTCCGTCACGCAGGAGTACCTGATACAGTGCAACTTTTGTTGCAGTTAGTGTAATAGTCAATCTTTCCTCACCCTGAATTTAATTTGGTCGTATTTATAGTTCGTTTCTTTCAGTGCAAATGGTTCAGAGCAATTTTCAGATGAGCATCGAAAGCAGGAGTCCATGGGCTCCTATCGAAAGTAATCCGTGATTGACTTGCCTTTGCTTATCTTTACTCTCTGACTGTTCTAGAAACTCTCAGCACCCCCCTTAACCGATTAGATTAAATCTAAAACCATTTTTGCCTGGCATAGAAATACAGTAGTAGAACAAATTACAAGGAGTAAGTGTTAAAAGTCTTTCCGACTCCTTTTATTCACACGGGGAAGAGTAAGCCGAGCATGAGCCGCGCGAGAGCATGGGGCAAAGGGAGCAAAGAAAACGACGAGCAGAGAGACGGGGTAAGGAAATAAAAGAATGAGCCATTCTTTCCCCTCCCTAACCTCCCCCTTTTGTTGCTTTTTGGGCACGAGTTTTACCCCGACTGATGCCCTCACACGTTACCGCTCAAGGTTGAATGAGAGGAAATAGAAAGGCTTACAACGCGGGCTTCTTTGCCTAATTTTGCATTCTCTTCTCTCACTTAAATTATTAGGCAATTGTCTCATCATCAAAGTCGCTGCATAGTCGTAACCCTTGCTGCCAAACGGATCAACAGCATAAAGCAGAAAATTCTTGTTCGCGGAGAAAATAAGATTACTATATCCATTTCTCCAACCTTCATCAAACACCACCGGATCAAATCTACCGCATAGAGGGAAGCCCCCTTTTCTCGGTGAAACTGGAAAATCTATTAGGGCAGTTAACATTGAGTTTAAGTGCTCGATAATATTGTGTTACAGAAAATTTAGTAAGTTTTCATTGTGTTTGGAACATAGTTACGCAAAAACTTTTCATGTTCAACCATTTTCGATTCATTCAAGTTCTTTCGCTCTAGTATTTAAAAAAATATAGAAAAGCCACAGTAGTTTTTGAATCGCAAACTAGTACATTTTGCTGGTTACTTTGCCTTTCATTATACATCTCAGTGTCGGTGCCTTGATGACCATTACTACTGAAATAGCATGTAAATAAAAGTGTCAATGTTCTCTCTGGAAATATAAATATAAGCGTTGATGATCTTTCTGAAAATTTGGTTCTCATGGAAGTTGTCGGCTGATAAGTTTGCTTTCCTTACATAGGACAATTTTCTCACGTTGCCACATTTCCAAACTTAACACCAACATCGCATAAATAACTGAACAGAAATTATTACTACGTCTCACTTTTATTTCCTAAGCTGCTCTACCGCAATTAAAATAGGTGTTTTTAATATCAGAGCTGTGAAATTTGACTTAAGTTTTCTATTTTTAATGGCCTAGAGTCTATTGCATTCGTTTCTTAGTTTTTAAGTTCTTTATTTAAACGAAATTGCTCAACTACAAAGAAAAGTTTTCCGCCCTTTTGTGACCCTAAATTATTCAAATATTGCAATTCGAGTAATAGCAGAACCTCGCACCCGTTGATACTTGATACTAGGCAAGTAAATTGTAAGGCTTTTTCGATGACGAAGTTGAGTACGTTAGAGGTCATGTCGGTTGTCGGTATGAGCTAAAATAATATCTTTACGGTGGCCAATTTACGTTATTAACTGAGTTGATAATACATAATTACCCTGTTATACTCTCCCACCGACGCAGCACCACAGTTTCTTTAGAAACTTATCCCCTTTTGTAGACTCCGATTTAACCCTTTAATTAAACTCCCATGATTGACCAAGAGAGAATTTCTCCTTACAATATCAATACAATATCAAGCAGAAAAGTGATGAGAATAATGAAAAACGCCAGGGGGATTAGAGGATGATTAGTTGATCAAATACCAAATTCTGCGAACTAACATTAAAAGAATTGTATGGTGGATAGTGAGATGAATTACTCATGCCATCTGGGAGTGAAAGGTTTAAAGCGAATTTAACACAAGGCAAAACTAGTGCGATGACGTCTCGATTCAGCGCCACTAGCCCGCAATCTCGTTGTCTGACAAAGAGTAACCGTATAGCAGTTGACATATCGCAGTCAACAGCTTCAACCTGTTTTCTTTCCACTTTATACATCTGTATTGATAACCAAGTAGGACAATAAATATCTTAACGAAAAGCTTAGTGGCAAAGAGAAAGTGTCTTCTATTGTTTTAAGACATCGCTCATCAAATTACAAAAGGAAACTACACAAAAGTTACAAAAATTTTCGTGGTTAATGGGTCTTTTCCCCTCTGCAAAAAAGCTTCGCCGGAGTGCTAAGCAGCAGATAACAACAAATATGCTCAGATATGTTTCTAACTACATTATCAGCTCTCTTTTAAATCATCTTCAAAATCCTGCGGCCCAGGAGCCCTTTCTGGGATCCGCCTTTCCGTAAAGTTTACCATCAGGGCTTGTGGCCGCCGCCTGTACCACTGCAGAGGAGAATTCTGTAATGTTGTGTCCAAGCTTTTTCAGTCCCTCTTGAACTGCAAGGGAAATGGGGCGGACTCTTTCGATGCGAAGGAAGTTTGGTAGTAGTTGATGATGGAACCTGGGTTCTTCTACAGCTTTTGTTAACGTTTGATTGAACCAGAAGTAGTTCATCACCACCTGTTCCATTCAAAAACATAAATTTCTA